TATTTCACTCTCTTTTTTTCAACATTGGATGGTTGGCATGGAAACAACAGTCACATTTCTGAAATATGCGATCCTAAAATCCGAAATGGCTTTGCATTCTGGTTTAGGATACAGTGATGAGTATGTAGACTTGGGAACAGTTGACCCTAGCATCTGAACTGCAACGGATAAATCTGTCGATCGCATGGTTATGCCAAATGAGAATACCCTTAACCCCATTATAATTTGTATGCATTATATGATGGACGTTGTTTGAAAGAGCTGAAAATGCCTATCCAAGCCAATATCTAATAAGAAAGCACAAGTGTTTAGCCATTGTTTATTTCGAACCAAAAAGCAGTAATTGAGATACAAGTGTTTTGTTCTATATGAATATGGCGGTGAACTGATAATAACCAACAACCCGTTCACGGCATCAACTCAGTGCTTGGCACATACATGGAGCACCCATCTTACGCCTATCATTTTGATAGATTTACATTAAGCGTGTGCATGCTTTGCATATTTTCAGGAAAAACTCATCCAAGCATGAATCAACTTTGAATATTCAAAAAGTAGATATACTATCAATCATCTGGACCAGTCGAATTGATGGCATGTATGTTTTTAAATCAATTTCGGTCATACTATGATGCCATTTGTAATCATGAGTGCTCCGTTTCATCATGTGGTAAATGAAGCAATTGACAATCTGTTTTTGGCATATATGTCAGTAGTTGTGTACAATGGTCTAGCAGTAGCTTATTCAAGTATGGTACACAGTGCCAGTTTAATCACATTGTGGATCCGCATTGCAATAATCAAAAGTGAGTGGGAAACTCGCATATAGATATTGACTAATGTGTCACTGGATCAGACCATATCAAATATGTTGAAAGTGTATGTAATCATTCAGATCCGAGTTGGTACAAACACGATCATAAGAATGATGTATATTGCACAATGGTGTTTGTAATAATATGCATGTGATTGAATGCAAACTAGTGAACTAGTAGCAAACAAAATAATGACAGATGGTGATTGAAAGAATAAGAATGCCTGTGAATCATTATGTAATAATCATGATGCTATTGCACATCGTATTTTGATAATATCCCAACTTGTGCTTTCAGCGCCTCAACACTCATGATATTGTCTAGAATATTTGAATGTCAATCAGTTTGACGACTTTTAATTCAAAGCAACACTTTTTGATTTAAATAATACAATGAACCCAATTTAAAATACACTTCAAATGGAGGGGTAGTTGCTATAAAATACGATAGCAGTACTAGTCAAAGGTTCAAAAGATGTCAAGGATGCCAAATGCATTGGAACAGGGATTTAAACGCTGTATTGAACATTTGTTTGGGTTTTTGCGCAAAAGATCAGTCAAACTTTGTCGAGTCAACACAGTACTCGGGTAAATCTGGTGGAAATTATCGTTTCATAAAACTGTTTATTATGTACTTGAGCACTCTTGGTGTTCCATTTTACATGAATACAACTGTTTACGATACCACAATCTCTAATTTAGGTTTATTATTCTCAAACGTTGCAGAAAAAAACATACTGTAGCATTATAACAGATCGCTACAAAAGTTTTAAACAAAAAGAGCGGCAATAGCAACAACGGCAGCGGCAGCAGAAAGACTGTTAATGTTGCTAGAGGAGTAGATGGGAACATCACCACCAGCAGCATAGGCAGGGGAAGCCTTAGGGGAAACCTCACTCAATGGAGAAACTGGAGTGGGGACTGGAGTTTCTTCGGGATGTGGGGTAGAGGCGGCAGCTGGTTTTGGGTTTTCACTTGCTGGGTAAGCAGGAGTAGAAACTGGCTTTGGGACTGGAGTCTCATCGGCGCATGGAGTGGTGGTAGCAACTGGTTTGGGAGTTTCACCGCCATAAGGGACAGGAGCAACAGATGAGCTGTGGCGGGAGTGTTTGGATGCAACAGCAGATGCAACAAAGACGGAGACAATGATAGCAGTGAATTTCATTTTGAATGGACAAGAATCTAATAAGAATTACAAGTAGACTGGATACTGTGATTTCAAGAAAACCTTGCTACTATTTATAGCTGCTCATTATTACACGGCACTCATTAGTGTTCCGTTTTACGTGAATATGGCAGTGAATGGGTTGTTTGTCGGTAACCGGCGTACGGCCCAATTTCAGGTATGTTCCTATTTGGACGAAATTAATTATTTCTCGCGGTTTTGCAACAAACTAACGGGTTGCATCATGCAGGGATTCGAGCCCTTATTCAGTAGCACATTGAATTAAGAATTTTAATAGGTCCACGACAACTTCCATGACTGGATTGCTTCGTTACATGTTGAAATACGCCACCGCCTCATGCCACTTTCAAATCCAATACCAGTCTGGTCATTGTTTCTCGTATTGCATTTAATGGACACTAAATTAAGCTTCCGGTTTCATCGATTGCCTATTTCTGATATTTTTGGGCTGTAACGTAGCTGGTTTGATAAGCTACATCTGATGGCAAAGTTTTACATTAATCCACTCGTCTAATCATATATACCATCTAGTCATCGTACCATCTCAACACTAGTAGCGAAAACAATATCTGTTCAAATACCAAGCACAAATGTTTACAATACTGGAATTGGCCAATCTCGTTTGCCCTGTTTGCTAAACACAATCTTTTATTCACACCACCCATCAGCATAATTATAATCGACTGAAAAACGGCCGTTTCCTCGCCATCAAAGGTGGCAATCAACAACAATATGGTTACTACATGATGGCCATTTTGTGGACCGACACAAAGTTTTGGAAGCTGGATATTGAATTGGTACTGTTTATCCAACTGTATCAAGCGGATAGACAAACTTGCTTCAACACAAGATTCACCAACCGTGCCGCTGGGAATGCCACTCAACTCGTGCCTGCTAAACCAAGCTATACTTATCTTTCGGTATTATAGTGGTTAACAAATAGATTGGCTAGTGGCTAAACAAGCACAGTCATGGTAAGCCACTAGTCTTGATCTTGCAAACGCATACTTTTGAATATGGTTTCAAATGGCATATCTTGCTATAGACGCCACCACTCGGACTTACTCCAAACGGCCACCTTGTAGATATAAAAAGACACATTCAAGATCCATCATCCAGTCAAACCGCTCATCGAACATCTCTTGCAAAGTAGCCAAACAAGCGTAGTCAGCAGCTTAGTTACAAACCTCAGCGACCTTTCGTTCTTATCACATCTTGATCTCTAGCATCGTAGAAACAAACCAGTCTGTATTTTCTTTAACCTCTTCTATAGTCTCAATGAAACTCTCTGCTATTTTCCTGTCTGTCCTACTTGCTTCGGCCGCGTCTGGCACATATATTAAGCCAAGCTCCACTCCTGCTCTTGTTTCGACCACTCCCTGCACGGATGAAATTCACTCGTCCCAAACCCCTAAACCTATGGCGGCCAAGTCTGAAACCAGTCCTTGTTTAGACGAAACTCCAAAGGCCACTCTTACTACCACTTCTGTAGCCACTGCTTATGATGGCCAGACACCATTGCCAACTGCTGCAGTCAGCCATGGCACCACTCCCTGTAGCACCCCTACGCCTGAACTAACGGGCAGCTATACCCCCGCTGGTGTACCTCAGACCAAACTAGAAGCCATTGTTACTCCTACTCCTACCTCTACTCCACTCAGCAATTACGATCAAGATGTGCCCATTGCTGCTAGCGCAAACTCCATCGAGTTTAGTTTCCTGGCTGTTATGGCTGCCCTTACTGCCGCTATTCTCGCTTAGATGACGCGCAATCAGAAATACTATATTACAGCAAGTGTTGCTTCATTTGGAATGTATATGGATTTTCAAGGATAATACATATATTGTACCCGAGCTTATTCTTGTATTTTTACTGTTAAATGGTTGTTGCTGTGGCAAGTGGGTTAGTTTTAGTTTTATGGCTTTAAAATGTAACATTTTGTATTTATCTTGCGGCTGCTACCTCTTGCTCTGGAATAAACAATGGTTGAATATTTGTACTCTCCTACTTGAACATTTTCAGCTCTTTCAAACAACGTCCATCATATAATGCATACAAATTATAATGGGGTTAAGGGTATTCTCATTTGGCATAACCATGCGATCGACAGATTTATCCGTTGCAGTTCAGATGCTAGGGTCAACTGTTCCCAAGTCTACATACTCATCATTGTATCCTAAACCAGAATGCAAAGCCATTTCGGATTTTAGGATCGCATATTTCAGAAATGTGACTGTTGTTTCCATGCCAACCATCCAATGTTTGTAAAAAAAGAGAGTTGGAAATTAAACAAGTTTACTACAGGTGTGATGCCAACATTCGTCTAGTTTTTATACAGGAATGGATCGTCATGAGAAAATCAGCCAGCTAAAGAGTCTAGAGGACACAATGTTGCCCAGTAAGATTGGTGTAAATTGACACAAACCACTTCATGGGATTAACTGTTTATTATGTACTTTGACTCCCTTATTTAGTGTTCTATGTGAACACGGCTGTAAAACAACTGCTGATTCAGGGTTGAGTGAAAACAATGCAGTGATTCGTTGTGTCTTGTTGCAGTCACCTTGGCTTAAACTATCTTGTAGACACCACACATAGCTTAGCTCTTGAGTAACCCCGCCCTTGTGTCATCTGGGTTACTTGAGCCCTGTTACGCGACAATCTCATTTTTACCTATTGGTAGCCCTGCTACCGTAGTGTTATAAATAGCTTTCGAATATGTCCGTTGTTTGATACTTACGACTCAGCCTTTTTGATTTAAATACTGTGCTTTCTAAAACTGTTTCAGCCAAATAGATCATCTTTGATAATACCGGATATTACTTTAATAGGAATATCAATCTGCGCTCTTATACGATGAGGTACCTTCTTGCCATTCTCTCAGTATGGAGCATATCAATCGTTATTGCACAATCGGATAAAAAGCCTGAAGGCTCCAAGCCCCCTTCTTCTGAAGCTTCAAAAACTGACCAACCTGGAAAATCAGACCACGAATCTAAAAAACCAACTCGACCAAAAACCAATTCTACAAAGTCTGCAGGAGGCCCGTCACATAAACCTAGTCATGCACCTCTGCCAAATGCTGCACCAATGCCTCCTCCCTTGCCACCTACTCAGCCTCCTGTTAATTCAGTAAAACAGCCCAGCTCCAGCTCCAGCTTCAGCTTCAGGAACCGCTAGTCCAACTGCCTTTGCTGTAAAGGGAACTGCCAACGCATCGCCAGCCACTTTTGATGCAACACCAGCTGCTCTGACTATCCTTGTGGCATTTTCAGTCGCTGCATTCCTCTAATAAATCTTTAGGGTTTTCCCAAAATAAATCTAATTTTATTAAACTGGGTTAAGCGTTGGCTTGCAGATACAAGCAACATTGCATTACACTATAGAAATGATGGACCAAGCTTTTGCAAAAATATAGCAATGAATTCATTTTTATTTATTAAACTTTCCAACTAATCATTGTTTTTTATGGTAAAAGCTTGAAATCATCAATTTTAAGCAGCATTTCAAGTATTTGGATTCAAGCCATTCATTGATCGGCTTTGTATTCAATTTTAGGAAATACGGTTTTATTTAAACCGCATTTTTTTGAATTTACAAGATACTGTTTGCCAAACGCTAGCCACTACGTGTAAAAAGACTGGTTGTATCCCAATATTCTCAACTCATCGCCTCATTGGTCGGCAATGTGGCAATCTTGATTTGGCTTTAAACTACGACGCGTCACTTAGTGGTAGATCTGCATTTGAGCCATCTTGTGTGCACATTATTGCTAGTTATTTAGCCACCTAGTGTCGATTTTTGAAGCATGAGTGTGTAGCCATGTGAGACGGAGTAGATCTGTGTTTAAAAAACTGAATATATTTGTAGTGCACACTTGTGTTGTTGTGCCGCTAGTGCCTCGACATCAAAACATCGAGTCACTCTTGGCCTTATAAACCCTCCCTTCTTCTCAGTTCATTGCTCCATTTTCATTATTCCTTTTCATAGAAAGATATACAAGCCGAAATAGGCTCACACTATATTATACTACTTTGCAAATGAGATTCTCAACATCGATCTTGATTGCGTTTTTGTCGTCTATTCGTACAGTACATGCTGGAATTTCTAGAGCGGGAT